ATTANATACCTATATCTAATATATAACCTTANACTATAACCATTCAACTTANACCTANATACCATATATATATAATATATACCTATATANATATATACATATATACTATAATATATATATATATATATATATATATATATATATATATATATATATATATATATATATATATATATATATATATATATATATATATATATATATATATATATATATATATATATATATATATATATATATATATATATATATATATATATATATATATCATCCACGTTGTTATATTTGTTGTATAGAGCTGATGTTCAACAACGTTCACTGTCACCCACCTATTAAGCCCAATACAACGGTCAGCGCAATACTGAAGTGTACGCTCCGGGTTTCGCTGTCAGTTAGTGTAGTACCAGCGTCCTTTGGCACGTCCTTGCAAGATTCCTCGAGCATGAGTCTATCAATTGGTGGTCGTGACTTAAAGTGAGATATATTAAAGAGAAAAATCAAGCACATGTTTGTCCGTCTATTCACTCGAAACCAGCCTGGTCATACAACTATTAGAGCGTATCATATACTTTCAACAAGAGAAATGCCTGACGAAACTCAAGGCCCACCGCCGTTGAGCATACGCGGGTAATAGTTCGTCCTTAATATACTTTATAGCGATTCTTCTAGTTATGGCTATTCTTCTAGTTACAGTTATTCTACTAGTTATAGTTATTCTACTAGTTATAGCTATTCTACTAGTTATAGCTATTCTTCTAGTTATAGCGATTCCTCTAGTTATAGCTATTCTACTAGTTATAGCTATTCTTCTAGTTATAGCTATTATTCTAGTTATATCTATTCTTCTAGTTATAGCAATTCTTCTAGTTATAGCTATTCTTCTAGTTATAGCTATACTTCTAGTTATAGCTATTCTTCTAGTTATAGCTATTCTTCTAGTTATAGCTATTCTTCTAGTTATAGCTATTCTTCTAGTTATAGCTATTCTTCTAGTTTGAGATATTCTTCTAGTTATAGCTATTCTTCTAGTTATAGCTATTATTCTAGTTATAGCTATAATTATAGTCTAACTATCACTCGTACACTTCACGCATGTACCTTCTGACTTGCCGTCTCACTTGGTTGTGATCGGCGCCCTTGTCCGGATAGACCAGCGGCATGTATCGTATAGTCACATGACCGGGTGCGTTCATCATTCGGTTCCTGGGCCACAACTCAAAGGGACCGAAATGCACCACTGGTGCGACGGGGCAGCCTAGCTGTGAAGACGCGTGAGTTGATAGCCAAATGATCAGATGCGGCGTATGATAATAGAGGGTTTGTACCACAGGGCCCGCCAGGTGTCACGTTCTCAATGTGAAATTGCCGTATATACATCAAGGCCGAGGTGCTAGTATGTTTCATGCACGACGTGAATGGTAACCTTGTGGCAGAGTCCTGTATATTGTGCAATCTATCAAACAACTCAACACAAAAGGCATATATCAGCATACTTATCGACTTGGGTAATACAACATCACCACGTCTTGGTCGTTTTACTACTGGTCAATGGTATAATTGAATGCCCGTCATGTAAAGAGCCAATGACACCACGCGTACAGACAGGGGAAGGAAGTTGTACATACTCACATCCACACATGTGTGAATATATGTGTAGGTGTAGGTGCATGAATTACCCATGTACGTATAATAAAATCATCCCTGCATAGGATGACGTAGCACACGTACATATGAAATATAAATGCCTTATACAATATAAAAGCACAGCACACGCACATATGAAATATAAATGCCATATACACTATAAAAGCCATGCACAGTAGTAACCCCCGAATGTCCCTCGCTCCATAACGCCCCTTACGACCAATAAAAAACACTCAACACACACACACACACACTATACACCCATGGCTTACATCATGCTGCAAGTGAAATGCACCCTTCTTGAACGGCTGTAGCTGGCCCTGCGGTTGCCTGGTGCCCTCTGGTGCGATGGTCAGACACCGGCGCCACCGCTGCATGGATGCCTTTAGTCTGTCCAACTGAGCGACCGCCCTTTTCCTCGACCCTCTGCAGTGGTGTGTGTGATAGATCAGTAGTGTGCATCCTTCGTGTCAGAACACTCAATAATGCCTCGAGTTTGCGTAAGGAGATGCTGGTGTGTTTGCAGACTGTGGGGTGTATAGAACTGCTTCGGCCAAGGCTCCCAGAATCTGCCTCAGGCAAGCTGCACCCATGCACATGAGTTACTCAAAGGTAAAATATAGCCACAGACGTCTTCCCTCTCCGGTACGGCAGACACAACAGTCTGAACGTCGAAGTTTCACTCATATTCTTTGACGCTACGAATGTCTTAATAGGCCGAATAACCCCCCTCCCCCAAACTTGTGAGAAATCAATATCACATACCTATCGAGTGGGATGCTTCCCATTGCGAACCGGAAGGCCCAGCCAATCACAGGGATCATAAACAGTGACTGCTTTCCCACTCCCTGAGATGTCAATATGAAGTTGCAGTACAGAGAGTTGGGAATTTTAACAAAACAAAATCGTAGTGGGACATTGGTAAAACAAATGGGCACAGATAACGCCAACGCATATTTGTGACTCGACCCCAACTACCATTGCATACATGGTTACAACGATTATTGACAATGACAACCATGTGATTAATAACCAAGGCAACCATGCTATTAAAAACCATGGTCACCATGAGACTAGTAACCATGGTAACCATGCGAATTTCAACCATGCATACCTTGTGTATGACTGGAGATGTCCGCAAAAGTACCATGGGGTCGAGATTAGACGGATGGGCAAACATCGTCAGGTAGGGCTGTGGCGGCGGGTACTCTCGAGTCTCAAGGCCCTGCACTGTAGGCCTGTAAAGGTGTATGAATGTATGAATGTGTGGGTGTGTGGATGTCCAAGCGTGTGAATACATCATAGCTGAGCGATCACTAGACAGTCATCGAGGATGGTATTGTGCTGCACATTTGAACGGTATTTTGCTGTACGTGGGCTTGTAACCTGTATACTACACAGTTCTTATCGGTTTAGTGAGCTGTCAGTTGATGTAAATAAAGTCCTAAGCAGCGTGTAGCGGTGATTTGTCAAGTCCATCCATACCACGGTGTGGCAAGTACCCCAAGAAAAGCAAAAACTTCTGTACGTTATAAACTTTCCGATTGATCAAAAAGACAACTCCACGAGACAGCTACAATCAAAAACACCTGAGAAGCACATAATACCATGATCAAGTAATAAACACTCCACCACTTAAATAAACGATGACCCACAAATGTAATTGCACACGACTTACACAGCACCAGAGCACCTGACGAGGCCATTCGCCACGACTGTGACCAGCAGATCGATCGGCAGATAGTCATTGGGAACACCTGAGTAAGCGGTAGACGAGGTTAGAGACACAGTTGTACAGTGCAAAAGCGAAATCGAGTTGATGGCACCAACCGGGATGTGTTTGTTTTTGCATGCGTATGTGGGTTGAAGTTGACCTTCGCCCTTGTAGTGTAGGTCGTGATTTAAATGTACCATGTCCGTACCCTATTGTTTGCTTACGTTACATGCGTATATATACTTAATCCGCCAGGGACCTTCCTAGGATTCTATAACATGACTATAGCACACCACATGGTTAGCTCGTCCAGGGTTCAATATAACCAGCAACTGACAGTTAGGCGTGACTACGAACACTTGAACCCCTCACAAAGGCACACAATGCTTGGTGCAGCCATCGGAGTGGCAAATACAAGTACGATCCACTCTGCACTCAGGCACGCCACAAATATGGCCAGAGCACATGCAAACATCGATGCAGTTAGCATGTGTCCGAAATCTATCTTGAGATCAGATGCACATACATTTAAACCGAATTTATCTAGAGATCAGATGTACACACATTTAAACCAGATCTATCTTATGCTCAGATATATACACATTTAAATCAAATTTGTCTTGGGATCAGATATATACACATTTAAACATGTACCCCCCTACCAAAGCGGCGCAATGCCGGGTGCAGCCATCGGAGGGGCGAGCACAGAAACAGTATCCACAATCCACCAAAGCACCAGATAAACATGCCCAGAGCACGCGCAAACATGAACGCTTTGTTGGGGCCATTCATCTCCAACGACAAAGGTTCGATTGTCAATTGGCGGCGAATTTCCAGATTCTTCTTCTGCCACTATAATTGTGAAGGGTTTGGTATTTTTCATTAGTAAGAGTAGGGGGTTTTCTTTTGTTACTTTTTGTGAGTTACGCTACGATGGGAGGAACTGCATTGCCTTACTAGTGTGTAACTAACTTCTTAGTCTTCCGGTCAGTTTAGCAAGAGATGGCCCGAGGTAGTCTGGATCTATACGGATTTAGACTCCTCGGTTTCGCTTGTGCATAAGATTGCGTGACAAGCGCTAGTTCCAGCTGTTAGGCGCTTGTATAATAATGTAGTGCTGCTGATAGTCGAAGGTAAGGCATGGACATGCAGCACACAGAGTACTTAAACCACGACATATGTATATAGAATAAGCAACTGAGGCTCTGAAATATACTAACACTCGCCCACTATACACGGCCGGTGTTCTGGATAAGCCTATACGTAAATCTACAGGTATTGGTATAGCGACACAGAAAGTGATATACAACATAAAACGTGTACGCGTGAGTAGCGCTTGAACGTTGTGATGTGTGGTATTCACAAGGCACGCATTCGCAACTCGATCAGAACTGACGTCTCATGGCTCATAATGCATGTCAATGCTCGTCAGTACGAGGTAGAGATAGCATAGCACCATAGCCAAATCTCAGACAATCGCCACCTATTGATCTTTACCAATCTCTCTGTATATATAAGTGATGGTGACACGTACCACAAACTGTATGCGTAAAATAATAACAATAATTTGTTCGTACGTCGATTGAACATACTACACTTATATACAAAATTATGTATATGAACGTTTATACTCGGATATATTTATAGAACACACCTCCGACTCCATTTTGCCCTCCTCGATCACACCGGCCTCTTCGAGGTCCATCAACAGCAGCTCGTTGTCTCGCCAGACCTACGCCAACAAATAAAAACGAAGGTATTGTATTGATCCGTGAGTGAGGAACTTGAAGACCTTGCATAAATGCGATAAATATTCATCATATTCATAACATCGATACCAACACACAATGAGAAGGCCTCTACATGGCATTGCGAAGGCGATAGGCAAAATGCTCAGATGAAAGTGAAGAGCAAGTCAGTGATGTAGCACAGATACCACTGTCTACAAAAAGAATCGGCTATATATATATATATAGTGTATATGTATAATGTATATAATGTAATGTATATGTATTTATCTATTTGTGTATGTATTTATCTATTTATCTTATTTATTCGTATACATATATATATATATATATATATGTATATATATATTATATATATATATATAATTAACTATTATATATACTATATATATATATATATATATATATATATATAGACGTGTGTGTGTGTGTGTGTGTGTGTGTGTGTGTGTGTGTGTGTGTGTGTATGTGCGTATATATATATATGTGTGTGTGTGTGTGTATGTTTGTGCGTATGTGTGTGTGTCTATACCAATTTTCTGTACAGATTCTCGGAAAGCAGCACGGATACACCCAATGAGTACACCAAGTATTATGTTTTCTTTGGACAGGGCTCAAATGCATCACTTCTTGCGTAGGAACACGTCAACACTACAAACCTCGCGTCGAGCTACGTTACGGGCATATCTGGTATCTAAACTCTCGATGCCCTTCAGATCAGTCTCCACCTGGGTGAGTCGCTTCTTGAAAGGTTCCGTGTCTACGTCTTTTGGCACGAAAGCACCCGAGGTATCCTCTTTGTCGACCATGCTGATGTGCTATAGTTGTATCTTCTATACGTCTGGTCGATTATTGTGGATCAGATATTGTATTACATAATAACCACAAATACACAATAGCACGCACTATATATAAGTATATATTTACATGAAGTATAATATTATAAATATCTTGTCCTTTTTGTAATAAAACTGAGGTGACAAAAAAGGCTGTTTTTTGTTTTTTTGTTTTTTTAAATACGAAATAGAGTATTTTTTACTTTTGTTTCATTTCAGAGTAAAATATGTTTTGTTTTTAAATTCAAAACAAATTATCAGTTTTGTTGTATTTACAATAAAAACAGCCCAAAAAGGACCATAAATAGTAATAAATACGAATGTCTTTATACGGCACTGGTAAAATAAAGTTATTAACCACCTCAGGCCCAGTTTCCTACCAGCCTCATACTTAACTTTCTCGAGTTTACTTTCTTAAAAGATGTAATTAGCGTGATTTTAGCCCCATTTATTGCACTTGTTGTATTAGTTCTTTGTCGGCCTCGGAGGAGAGATCGACGTATGTTAGACACGAATAGTGTCAACTGTAAAACCATGGGCGAATCCGAAGCAATAGCTAAGACAGAGGACGCCTATATACATGTGTCTAACTGCTAACATATGTCAAGCCCTTAAGACCGACAAGGACCTAACATAAGTGCAACAAATGAGTTGTATCCGCGCTACAATATCTAACATTTAAGTCGAGCGCTTTCAGTCGGCAGATAAAAAGCAACCCAGCAGAAAACAAACACATCTCACAAGTGATTAAAATCTCGCTAATTACATTTAAAATACACCTATATATAAGCAAAATAAACTCAAATAACTTGGAACATAGACTACCGCGCAGCGGGGACGAGCACAGCTCGGAATATCTGTGTGAGTTTTTATTGAATAATGGTAATTCATATGACGGATTAGTTATTTTCAAATCTTCGAAATCAATTTTACCCGGTTAATTAAATTATCTTGCACACAATCAAACACATAAACTCATGAAGTCCTACTCAATATAATCTTGCTCTCTGATACACAATATATGTTTAATATACTGTCACGGACCACACAAACAAACACATTATACAAACAAGCAGTACTCGATATGTGTGTGAATGAAGTCAGAGTGAACGAGAGCGCTAAACAAGCGATCGATGTTATTTTTCAGGATGATGACTTCGAATCAATGCTTGATGTTTCATGTAAAGTACGCAATATAGCAAAAGTCGCATTCAAGCTGCTAGTGAACGATGCAGTCAACGTGGTGCTTGGTAGTGGAGCTACAAGTAAGATAACATCAGATATGACTGCTACAATACAAGTTAATGACAATGCGATAGTTGAACGTGCGAACAATTACCTAGATAGTTTAATATAGTTTGTTTTTATAATAAAAAAATAGTACATCCATACTTCATAGATTGTATTTTGTAAAATAAAATAAATAGAACTTTCTTTCAGACTTTCTCTGTGGTTCTTTTTAAGTTGGCCTATCATCTCTGTTTATATAAATAGGTTTTTGAAAAACGTTTTACTCTCTTTTTATTTAAAAAGCCGCCTGGCTTCCTTTAACTAAATAAGGAAACTGTATAGCCTAAATAAGTCGAGCCGAAGTTCCGAACTGCCAGATCATTATAATTTTTATATATCTTTTCTCACTCTGCTGGTGGCATAACACATCCCACAGTCCACAAACTCCACATGTCCACATCAGACTTGCCCAGATACAAAGTCACCTATTAGGCTACTAGGCTACTTCCTACCTCTCTAGCAGTCATCACTCATCGCCATGCGGTCTGCATATTTCTAATGGTAATTCTTGATAAGTGGCAAGATATTGGTTAAGACAATAACTAAGGACATCAAGAGTATTTTTTCTCTTTTTTCTTTTATATTTTTCTAAAGATAAGATTTTATGAGTCTCTTAGATTCGCCCCAATGAAACATCCCATAGTTTCTAATACAGCGACAACGAAACACTAAATAAAATCCCTTCGGCGGAAACAGTACTGAGAGGATTGTATATATGCAATGTCTCAGCCTCACAATCCCTCAGAGTATTGCAGTTTTCACGAAGCATACCTAACTTTACTAAAAGTCTCATTTCGTTTATTTACTTTGATATTTTTACGATACTTAGATTTTACCTACGCGTTTAATTACTCTAAGGCGTTAATATCGCCTTGATAGACCGAATCTTACATCTCCACCTCTATCACCCTTCTATCAGGTAACATGTAGGAATTAGAGGGTTAACATATAGATAGCCCCCAGAGTTGTGATTACCTTATACAGCCACCTAGGGATAATATTATTTATTTCAAAAATGGCAAGTATGTATGATACAATGTTTGAACATGTGGTATGGCTCTCATAGTCGCTGTAGTGGTTCAGGAAAGATTGATGGGAAGAAGTGGTCAGTGAATTCCCGTTTGAAGCTTGGGCCAAGTGAGTCGACAATGGAAGATATGTGCTGAGTCGATTCGGGCCGGTGTTGACAAAACACTGTTACTATCAAATGTTTCATATATTCGCTTGCTGACCTACTAAGTAGAGTACCCACCTCTGTGGTACGGATCGGGTCTGCGTATCTATAGTAGTTAAATTTATACAAATATGTATTTATACTTGAGAGAACCCTATGTCCACTTACTATCTTTCATATCCCCACGGAGAGAGTTTACCCTTTACTATCTTTTATTCTTCGACAGGATCATCTCATATCATTATTTTATTATCACCACAATCAGTGCTCAGAAATATTTATTAGAATATGGATAACCCCGGGTACCCGGGGGATCCATCCCCCTACGGGGTAATGGATATAATACAATCGACTGAACCGTCTGCTAGCATGCGACAATAACAGGGGTCTACGATTCGGTAATCAGAAGATTAGACAGGAGTCAGTGAGACGGTTGTATGGAAGACTAGAAGACTACTCGAGGGCTCTCTCTCAGCCCTCTCGAGAGCAGGCGTGTCGGAGGAGAGCCTCGTCCACGACTAGCGGCCGCTACGCGGATATACTTGTGTAAAGAAAATGGGTAATAGTTTATGTGCTATTGGTATGCCAGGAAAAGTATTAATGAGTGTTAGGTGTGTGAAGTAATAAGTATACGAGAGTACAGTCGGTTACCCGAGGAATGGAGTGCCACCTAATCTTAGGTAGGGTGTGAATTGAGTAATGTGTAGTGGATTTCAACCCCCCTCTAATAACCTACTACACAGAACTAAGTACTTGTATCAAGAATCTTGCCATACACATGTAACTTATTACCCCTACTACCAGTAAGACACCTCCCTATAGATATATCATTCTATTCTTTAAACTACCCTCCAGATATCTCTACTCTATGCTGTACCTGAGGAGACCTGATCCTTTTAAGCATCTACCCCTATGCTACTACCTGTCTATCCCTATCTACATACTGTCGTAGAGAGCGGGCAGCTCTCCCGAGGGTACTGAAGGAGGGTTGTCGGATATATTGGATTAGATTAGATTATAAGGGTCCCTACGGAACCCCGAAGGGACAGGACGGGTCCCCGGAACCCGGGGAGGGACCCTCCACCATCCTCTTATGCTACAGTCTTCCCGGGGGGATACACCTCTCTTCTTCTACTACACTAGCTACACCCATCTACCTCTAAACTAAAGGGCAGCTACGATACACTCCTGTCGGAAGGTTCCCACGGGGTTGGTATAAATAGCTTTTTTAAGAACTGAGACCCCTATGTTGATTGTACCTTGGTATAAATGTATAATTGGGTCTTGTGTACATATTAGATGATGTATGGTTGCATATGGAGATAGCTTGCAGCATGGGTTATATTCAAGAGATAATGACTATATCTTTAATATCTTACTGTCCGATACAACCTACACCGCTGGCAGTTGTGAATCGATCGACTGATTGAACTATTAAAAGTTTATTATCACCACATGTATCATGGAGGATGGAGCATATATCATAAAACCCAGGATCGAGCTACATAGTGATGTTATGACCCGGGACCATGCGCTAGGGGAATGATAGCATGTAATGACACTGTCAAGACCCTAGGAACTAAGTATTGGTGGATTTGCCCGCAGGTCACCTGCGAGCTCGCGGAAACCTAGAAGGTATCTCTCGAGTACATTTAAACCTTTTAATTGGGCGACCCCCGACACGAAGGGAAGAGAGGACTCCCGTAGACCTAGGAGTGTAAAAGATGAGACGGTAATTATCAATAGGATGTAGGTTCGATGGTCAGTCCCTCTCTTGGGGACCGTACATCCCTGCCTCCGACAAATCCAGAAGAGATCCGCAAGGATGTAAAAGATGATGGTAGAGTGCTTGCTCTCGGAGAGATCGTGTATTACACGTCTTCCCGCTAAAGAACGCGGGATCCTAAAGCAGGGCTGTAACATCAGATGAGATCTATCCTTCTTGAAGGCGGGTTCCCTGCCTCTACCATCCCTCGGGATGTCCATCCCCATCCCTACGGATGCCTGCCTCTCCGATAGAGGGATATTGACTTTATGCATCCCTTTTGAGTCTGTGCGACTATCTTCGATACTACGGAAGTCTATATCATCAATAGAGATAACCACCATTAACCTGAGTTTCATTAGCCCATGGGATATAGATACAGGGGCCCCTCTGATTCAAGTATCTGAGTGTCTATGCATAAGAGGGCCTCTTAAGGTACGATATACCAGGCCACCATGATGATTAGATAAATAGGGGTAATGTGGATAATTAGGTATTAGAGTCCTACTAAAAGGGAGTCAGGTAGACAAATAGAGATAAGATAGACTAAAAAGAAAGTATAAGTCATGATTAGTAGTATGAGGAAACTAGAGGGAATATATCAGTATTTTGTTTAACACACTAACCCCTCTAGAAGGAGGATAGCTCATAATCCTAGTCTACTCTCTTATCCATCCATTCTTACTTGTCTAATTTACTATCCCACTTATATACCATCATAGGACACTTTAGTATCCTTCTAGTATACGATGGTATGGTGTTTATTCTCTCGGGCAGCATATTTTTGGGCTAGGGTGAGGTGTAGAAGTTATAAAAAAGATAGGGTGTACACATCTCTCATAGACCAGTTACAGTTAGGTCTGTAAGAGGTAACTCCAGCCACCGAGTAGATGTGGTCCCCCAGAGTGATGGACATAAGGTCCTCGATAGTGGCGAGGACACCAGAGTTCTAATATATACTAGAGAGTTAAGTCTGTCTAATCTGATGGCGATGTTATAGTCCTCATTCAGTTTTTGATTCGATTATATTTCTATCCTCCTCACTAGAGCACTAGATCGAAGATACTAACTGGATTTTTCTATTATATGAACTACTGTACGGACAGGTGGTCGCCGGTAGGGACATCACTCCTGCGAGAGAGATCTTCTTTCTAGTAACCAACTAGGGTGACTTCCGCTACTGTTATATTACGTATGGGTTAGGTACACCCCTCCAAGACTGTCTGCACGTCTGTCCTTTTATTTTCACCGGATCTACTAACCCGATTGGACTAGGATACAATAATATTACATTCACCACCCACTCTCAACTCTCTTGAAGGTAAGTGGTTGCAAAGTAATTTTATCTGTAGCTATATGGTAGGTCCCTCTTTTACTTTAGGGACCGTACATGGTGGGGGGCTATATTAGAGCCCTCCTATGTGTACACCCCTCCTCCGGTACCCCCTCGATCCCCGTAGGGGACAGTACGAGGGTGTACCTGTTCCTGTCCCCACCACCCTCGTACCATCGAAGATGTAGGCTAGATTATATTATATTAGATTAGATTAGATTATAAGGGTCACCAGGGGAGACCCTCCACCATCTACAATGGAATACCCTTTGGGATTCAACGTGGTGTCTATCTGAAACCCCCGTAATCTAGTGGAGTCTGAGGATAAAGATAAAGATAAGTTATAGGTGCCAGTGGCAATGGATCTTAAGTAGAGTAAATAAAGGGATGCAAAGGTAATGTGTTCTATGAAAGAGGTAAGTTACTTCTTGATAAATTAGGGGGAGGGCCATCCCTAAAGGGATGATCCTTGAGGCAATCGTTAAAGATAGGCAGGTAAGCTTCTGATCTAAGATATCCTGTACTACATCCCGTAGGAACGCCTCTTCCCTTACGAGGATGATTTAGGGCATTGAGAGATTTGAACTCCCGGCCATGGTATTAGAAGTACCGTGCTCTATCCAGCTGAGTTATATGCCCATGATCCCCGCTCCGCGGGTATCGAAGATGTAGGAGGGTGTCCCCTCCACCATCGTAGGTCCCCCGACCGTACATCCTTCGAATCGTAGGTCCAAGGGACTATACAGGCTTCCCTGTCTTCTACGGGATGGTAGATGGTAGCCTGCTACGAGGATCGTAGGTCCCCCGACCTTAGATTATGCCCCGGGGGGATCGTAGGTCCAAGGGACCGTACAGCCTTCTCCCTCCTTCCGGGAGAGGCATCCAAGGAATCGTACATCCCTTCTAAGAGTAAAAGTAAGATCGGGGGAAGTAGCATAGCATCATGGAGGGTGGTTATCCTCCTACACTGGTGGAATGCAAAGCTTGCTCCTACGGATGCCCTCCTATGTGTACAGGTATACCTACACGCCCTCCCGAATAGCACCCCCCCCCTCCTGTGCTACGGGGGGTGCCCTTTTCCTCTACGAGGGTCGTGGCCCCCCTACATGTAACAAGATCCGAAGGATCTTACATCCCTTCGGGAGTAGCATCCCTCTTTTCGGATCTACAATATGGTGGAGCCCTCCTACACGCCCGCTCTCCTTGAGTGTCATTCTCATTGTGAGTGTCAATCGCCCCGTCGGGCTACGGGATCTCGACCCGACCTCTGGGAGAGATCTGAATGTGAATGCCATCCCCGGGGTCGTATATTCATACTCTCTGATAACTATAAGAGTTGCTCCGAAAAAGAATTGAACTTCTTTCCCATCCTTTTCAGGGGTGTGTACTAACCAGTATACTATCGGAGCTTTTTTTACGTTAAACTTCTTAAGATGTAGGTGTTGCGGGATTTGAACCCACAGCCAATACATTAAAAGTGTAATGCTCTGCCTTATTGAGCTAAACACCTTCTAGGGTGTGAAGGGTGGTTAAGTGGGAGAGAGGTGTCCTATCTTGTCCTGTTCCCTTGGGGTACAAGTGATATCGATAAGGGGTAGCTGACTCAGGGGGAGTAGAGATATACTGTGTTATAAAGGTAAGAGTACACAAGGAGATGGCAGAAGATAAGCTAATGGTAGAGGGCAGAAGCCCTCGTACATGGAAGATCTCGTAGAGATCTCTCATCCCCTCGGGAAGACTGTAGCATAAGAGGGTGGTGGAGGGGGGACCCTCCTACAGGCACCTTCGGTGCCCTCGGGAGCCCACTTGCTCTCTACGATGTAAATTTATCTATATAAAAGTAGAGTAGCGCTTTAATAGAAACTATAGTCCCGTGATTAGATAAACTTTTTAAATCTCAGGAGATAATATAAAACTTATTACCCCAGTGTGTCTCTCTTGTAGACAGAAGGTCATGGATGGGGAGAATTTACCTCAGAATAGTGGTGGACAAATTTCTTGGTACTGGTAACAGGAATACCCTATGCCGATTGTCAGTTTATTGGTCTAATCAGCTAGTGCACTTATTAATCTCTTTGTTATATGAGACTGTATACTAAAAAGAGTCCCTTACAGAGGGTAAAAGAGAGAGCCTATCTCTCCATCGGTTAACAAAATTATATTTCCCCTTCCTATTGACTAGTTTAGTGAGAGGCTACTGAATCTCTATTTTATTCTTCACAACTAGGTATATCCCCGAAGGGGACAGTACGAGGTTGTCCCTGCCCCTGTCCCCACCACCCTCGACCATCCGAAAGCAGGGATGTATCTCATCTCATCTCATCTTAGAACCATCCTTCCTGAAGGCGGGTTCCCTCTACCATGGTGGGGGGTCCCTTCCCGGAACCCAGGGACCCGTCCTGTCCCTTCGGGGTTCCGTAAGGACCCTTATAATCTAATCTAATCTAATATATCCTACAGGCACATTCGGTACACCTCTCTACGGGAGTGGTGAACAGCAGGGTGGTCATCCCCGTGTCTTCTCCGAAGGGAAGGTCTCCACTATAACTAGAAGAGGTCCGAACTGATTACATAGGGTCTAAAGCTGAACACGAAGCTTATTGGACTGTAAATACCTAAGTTATAGGTAGTCTTAACCAAGTAGCAGCTATTCCTTTTATCAAGACAACGATAGAGGTACCCCCAAACAGGTTATAGACATTTAGAGAATAAGAGAGATAACCCTTAAATAAAAAAGAAAGTAGCAGACAGGAAAACTAAATGAGAGGGTGTTGGTTCTGTGTAGTTCACAAGGTAGTATGAAGGGTAGACACATGTACATCTGTAAGTATAGGAGAGTATGATTACCCCGTAGGGGGATCATGGTGGAGGGTCTCCCCTGGTGACCCTCCTAAAGGCACCCCTCATCCCCCTACGGGGCAATTCTATCGTAGAGGGCTCCCGAGGGTACCGCAGGTGCATGTAGGATATAATATATTATAAGAGTCCCTACGGAACCCCGAAGGGACAGGATGGGCCGCCTCCCCGGAACCCGGGGAGGGACCCTCCACCACCCTCTTATGCTACAGTCTTCCCGAGGAACCGAAGGTGTAGGAGGGGGAGGGTCACCACCCTCCCCCATCACCCCGAAGGGGTAGGGTACTGGAGGAGGGGTGTACATCAGGAGGGACACTACCCCGAAGGGACAGGACGGATCCCCGGGTTCCGGGGAGGGACCCTCCACCATCCCCACCGTGATCTCCCTACGAGGTAATCCTATTAGTAAAGATTCTTCTAGTGCTTAACCCATATGACGTTAGATTGATCATTCTATACTTACTTGATTGAGAAAGTCATCCTGTAGGGGGGGGGGGGGGGGGTTAACATTTTTTATCTGGGTGATATGCAAATTCTAAGTACAGCACAATTGATTATAAGCTCCGCTACTCTAGCTCAAAATTATAACCATATATCAGTAGGCAATTAGAACCGATTTCTACCGTAGCAGAAAATATGGATTGGACGATCCTTCAGCGGCAGAATGAGAAGTACTCTAGTTACCGATGGACTATGTGAATTGAAAATAAACCCAGACACCTACATTGAAATGCAAAGCAATGTGTATTTAGTGTGGCAGTATAAAAGTCACAAGAAAACTGATGTGTTGGATTTTTGTTTTGGTTTGTTATAATTCCGGGGGATTTAAAAAAATAAAGTGATACATAGCCTTCCGAATGTTTTGTATTATAGGTTATGGGTACACCCAAAAAAATGAAAGAGACAAGATTGTGGGTGCACGCACTCGTCACGTGCACCTGAGTTACCGGTATAACCGTATTGGGCACACATCCACACACGCGCATTGCAACTTTAAATCAACAGGATTGTAGCATGAATTGTAGAGTATTCATATTTCAATACGAGTATTAGCAGACAGCACTGACTACGAGTTTTCTATTTGCCCACAGAGAAGTGCTACCATGCTGTCTATTGTTCTCTGTTAAATCATTTCATGGGTTTCTAAATAGTCAGCTTACACATCACCAGAAAATTGCGACGAGAATACCAGGTACGGGTCTTCAATATTCGATACGAGAAATTTCAGTTGCAGCTTTTAGAGCCATGATGGGATCCGTATCAGCCGTAGGCGTTGGAAATGAGTTACTTGTACTTATTAGAAAATCACACATTGGGTACTTGAATAGCGAGCGAGCGGATAAAGTTCTTAAATTGGATATAAGCTACTTCACAACTATGTCTGTAAATGTTGTGGAAGACGTACAGATTAGCACGATGTACGTAATAATTATGAATTAGAGTCTGCTGGATGAGGGGCAAGTGTGAACCACGGCAGCACAGTATACTACACATCATAGGCAAATCAACTGGAACTCCATTAAAATAAGTAAATACTCGAACCTGCATTGCTAGAGGTAAACGAAGGTGCATTCTCTATGTTCAACAATTGACATACAGAATGCCGGTTGGTCTAGTGATACATATCTTGTCTTCTTACAACAGATAGACTGCGATAAAAGATGACACTTTGCCTTGCCAGTGATGTTTTTGCACCAGGATCACTTGTGAATTGTAACAAGTACCCTGTCTCCGATAGTGCGGCCTGCACTAGTGATACATATCTTGACTTCTTACAACAGATAGACTGCGATAGAAGATGACACTTTGCCTTACCAGTGATGTTTTTGCACCAGGATCACTTGTGAATTGTAACAGGTACCCTGTCTCCGTTAGTACAGCCTGCATAAGAAGTTGACTGTGTGCAACGAGCCTTTATGCCTTGCGTAAATAAGTTTTCGGTATTGGAGATACAACTATAAATAAAACTGAGTACTCATGCAGCGTGTATATGAGAAAAAACAGCTCTAGTCTACAAATGTATCAAGAACCTATCAAAAGATTCCTCGTATAATTGTTGTTATATATTGCTTCTCTAGTGGACCCGATGTTGTACATCTGTACCTCAATTTTTGCAAGAAATTGCTATTCGGCAGCTTTTACTGAACATTACAAGACTATATGCTATTCTAATCCTACTCCCTGTACTTCTCATATTTCTTTCACAGCTGCAGGCGTATGTCCCGTAAGTCTGTCAATGATATCTCCGCTGGTTGGTAGCGACAAGCCATAGAACACCGCCAATTCTAAGCCAACGAAGGCAGCGCTCAAGAATATGCAGATAGCAAGCACAGACCAACCGTGGAACATCAGGCACCCTAGACTGTAAACGGATCAGTGGAGAGATATACGATAAGGAATCGTCCGCGTTCTCGGCACATTTGTGCCATATTGTGCAAGTAATCCTTGCTAGTTCTGCAGTTAGTAGCCCACTGCAAGTTCTCCTGACCAGATTTTTCACTCGTAAGGCTGTATGATGCATAACATTTATCAATTACACAGCGGACCGAAGTCGTGTGGCTCCGGATAGCTGGTACAATCTTCTAAAGCTAAATATATTAATCAAATCTAAAATTAATAGTAAAAAAGGAATGCGATCCAAACTAATATTTCTCTATAATTTATTCTATGTTCACACATAGGGGAAAGGCTTCTGCATGAGGGCGGTGTACCGAACAGACAAAACAAGCATACTGTTCGCACACAACGCGTAAACTCAGGCTGTAGGAGAAATAACCACAGCAATAGCGCAGCATGGCAAAGAACACTGGTTCAGGTTACTGCAGTATCTACATGGTAAGAAAACTTCTACATACCTGTAGGTACCCCAGAGTTCCACAATACCAAAGATGAAAACGAACACGAGAAACACGTATGCTTGGATTGTTTCACTGTCTGAGAGCGGCTGTCCTGCATCTTTCGGAGTGTCTTTGCACGATTCTTCCAGCATGTATCTAGTACAGAAATGGGCAGAGATGCCAGTATAAGTTCTTGTAACCACTACGGTAGCTTTAGAGCTGTTAGTAAGCGATATATATATAAACATATATATGGCCACACTACAACATATTCAGCAATTAAGTTTCGGTACGTATACATACGTACAAGCATTGCATTCGCTATTTATATACATATGTACATATACATACATATATATATATATACATATATATATACATATATATATATATATACATACACACACACATTTATATATATATATATAAACATATATGAATGGACACCTACGGCAGATTCAGCAATAAAGATTCGGTACGTATACATACGTGCAAGCAGAGTACACCACATACACATTTGAGACCGTGTATATACATAATATGATGATATGACCAGAAAAATAAGTATCCCCATATCCAAATGCCTACATAACAATGCTCAACATGGCTTGAGAATAACACTCATTTTCGGGACATGCACAACCAATCATCTACTAAATGCACTGGAAGCAGAGTGGCATTTGCATGTTTCATCAAGCACGATCGCGTCACTATCGGCAGCGTGAAGTCGTCCCTCAACATGCCCATATATCTGATGAGAATGTCTCACCTTCGTAGGGATCGTCGAACCTGGTTGTGATCGGCCCCCTTTTTTGGATAATACAGCGGTAGATACCTGATAATCACATGTCCAGGTGCACTCAACTTTCTGGACCGAGGCCATAGCTCAAATGGGCCAAAATGAATCACGGGCGAAATCGCACAATTGAGCTGCAGGCAAATGAGAGCATATATACTTTTAGTTCGCCGACAGAGTCAAAATCACAATCCCATGCAATAATTGTCGCAAGATATAAAAAATAAATGCCATTTGAAGTACTCATGTGGAATCGTCCTTGTGCGTGACCGTACCGCTCAAGTCCAAGTCCGTTTGAGGATGGGAGTGCAAATGACATAAGATCAATAGGTACACCGTTAAATGGTGCGCAACCTAATGTGCGTTGGGCGGCGTGTAAGTAGAAGGTGGTTGAACCAGTACAGTGCGGTGAGTGATCGATATCCCTGCGATATTTTGCTACCGATTCCGAGACACTATTCGGATATAGCAGTAGATATGCTAGTTTACGCGCGGGATGTTCTGCCACTGACCCGCTGTAATACATCTACAGTGTCAAGATATATGTGTTCCCTTAATTGCACAACGCCCACCTGCTTGTACAAACATACCGTCGTCTACTCTCTACCGCCTCGTGATATACACACGGTCGCTTACCGTATTGTACTAAGTACACACACAAAATCTAAGTACTAAGTACAAACACACAAACTATGTACTATGTACATACACACAAAGCACTACAACCATCACAGCGTGCGGCATACATCGTGTTGTAGGTGGAAAGGCCCCTTCTTGAATGGCTGTAGCTGGCCCTGTGGTTGGCGAGTGCCCTCGGGTGAGATCATCAGGCATCTACCCCATCGCTGCATAGAGATCTTGAGCCGATCCAGCTGCTGCTTTGCCTTCTTCAGCGAACCCCTGTGCAGACGTGGAGATGGTACGTTCCATATGTTGTGCAAGTACGTATAACACACTAGGACGTAGGTCTTTGCACCTACACTCTAATCACACCCTATTTGCCTGGGGGGTTGAGTGTCAACAGATGCATTGAATCCCAATGTAAATAGTTGGGGGCGCACTTAGTGTGTTGTACTGCATTCTTTCACAATGTGACAATCAACTATACCAACAGCGACGGCCAAAAAAGTACGTAATGATAGTAATAACAACATAGACACAATCCCAACAGAAATCCTGCAAGTACTCACAAGGTTTCTAAACCATAACGACTATGTGAAGGTTGTGGGCTCAGAACTGAGATCTTGCTATAGATACGCATTAACCTGGACCAGTATCAAATGACCTTTACATATGGGATAGACGCAAACACAACACCCCCTCTAGAACGACACGAACCAGATTTCACGCTACACAAAACACGCAATACGATCCTATCACCATCTGGTGTGCAGTGTGTAAACCTGGGCTGGGCAAGAACACTCAGGATATCACGGGCAATGCACCAGGCCGTTCCATGCGCACATCTTATGATCCACATACTCACCTGTCAACTGGGACACTACCCATTGCGAACCGCATCGCCCATCCTATTATTGGAGTCAAGAACAAGGACTGTTTGCCGATTGCCTGCGTTGAAGGAATCGGTACTTGAGTCGTGAGTGCGTACGCGCATGATTGGAAACACTTTATGTTAGAACGTCAAGACAATCAATTCTCAATTTACCCAAGGACAATGGCACACTCTTTGATTTTGCTCTCAGCTTCAAACACTATTCATGAATTTGCGACACACCTTGTGTATAACAGGCGACGTCCCGAGCAAAACAATAGGATCTAGGTTAGAGGGATGCGCGAACATCGTGAGATAGGGCTGGGCGGGAGGATATTCTCTTTCTTCCGCTCCTTGTACCGAGGGACTGTCACATAAAATCAATAATATGGAAGCGAACAGAAGAGTTACACCTCAATAGTATACTCTTTGGAACCGGTGTGATTGCGTTGAGCACCTATCCGTAAATGGATGTGCATTAGAACTCATAGTAATCGGACAACGGCGCGGATGTGCACACGCCACGGCCCTCAGAGCAGAAGCGTCTGAGCATGCATACGCAGACTTGCTTGCTCAAACTGTTTGAATGTGTGTTGATACGATGTCGACTGCGAAAAGAACACGCATGCACGCATAACTCAATGCTAAACCAGTGGAAGCGTGCACCGGGTTCCACAACGTAGACACAACAAGTGAACTTACATCACACCCGTGCATTTGATGAGCCCCTTGGCGTGAATTTTCGTCATAATATCTATTGGTAGAAAATCGTTCGGTATTCCTGGATGGGAAGAGAGAGGAATAGTTGCGTGAGCCGCATGTGCTATACAACAGATGGTATTGTTCGGCTGAAAACAAGCGCCGTATGACATGCAACGAGTCCTAAATCTCCGTACGAGTTTATGATCAACAGCAAATAGACCTCAAAAATTCTCCTTTGGTGATGATATATATAAATATATATATATATATACGATAATACAGGATCAACGGAGAAAGGAGGAATCAACAGATAGGATGGTCCAATGAGTGTATAGGCACACGAGTGGAAGTGCTGGGTTGTTACGACACCATGTATTCTAGCGGTATATCCGCTACGGACCCAGCCTGCAACAAGTGAAGATTGGCAGCAGAACACTTCAATGTTTTAATAGAGGTGAAACACGCCCTCGTTCAAAATACAGCACATGGTACCAATACGTACGACTCAGTCTCCATTTCAGACCAATGCGTTAACATACCCAGTCGGCGGAGTGCAGGGTGGCACCATCGCAGAGGCGACGACAGGAAGATAATCCACAGCCCACCAAAAAACCAGATCAACAGGGCCAGGTACCGCAGTTTCTCCAACACGCTGCTCAACGGAGTTTTAGCGACCTCAACTGGTTCAATTGTCAGTTGATCGCGTAGCTCTTGGTTTTCTTTTTGCCACTGATATAACGGATAGACGTTCAAACTGATGACGGCGAGTATCAATGCCGCGAGGTTTATGGGTCCACTTGAATGGTTTCTGACATTGACGGATAGATTACGAACACTGGAGATAATCATGCCCTTAGATACATTCTCTGAAAAATATCACGCTCACTACACAGGTGATGACCACATATACATTTACACACACACACACTCACACACGCGCGTAAATATATATATATATATATATAAATATATATATCATACGTGTATATTTAAATACATACATACATATATATATATATATATATATATATATATACATATACACACACATATATATATATATATACATATCACATATAAGACTCATATTATTCATGACAATTTAGCTACATTCCGCAGTGTTACTAGTCTATCTGAATGTATATACAGCTGTATCTACGATGTACGTTATATACTCAATATCACCTTGCTGTCAGTCTTTGCTTCCTCGACTACTTTGGCATCCTCTAGATCCATAAGCAGCAACTCGTTGTCACGCCATACCTAATATTCGGAACAGAGCAGGAAGTTTAGTTAACAGCTTATATGATGGTATCACCAAACAGGCAAAAAGAGGTACACTTAGACATATATATGTATGCCAGATTCAAGTAACGTAAAAGGTAGGTCAAATACTGATCAAATGGTAATCGCTGAGGATGAAGTTACGCCAACTGGATCCGTTTATCGACGATGATATACATACACGATTATTTAATAAATATAAACGCTGTTCAATCCATACACGCGCTTGCATTTCATGAGCACCGCATGTTATAGGGAATGGTGATACGGACATACTCGCCATTCTTAAAGTATGTTATATGGAATGATAATACGTACACACTCACCATCCAAAAAGCATGTTAAATGGAATGGCTATACGTACATACTCACCATTCATAAAGCATGTTTTATGGAATGATGATACGTACATACTCACCATTCATAAAGCATGTTAAATGGAATGGCAATACGTACATACCCACCATTCATAAAGCTTCCGTCCGCCTGTATTCAACGTGGTATGTATGGAAAACTACAAGTCTCTGGACACCGAGTCAGACGCAAGTAGAACTACAGATAGTCGTTACCTAGTATATTACCTAGTATATTACCTAGTACATATATATTCAATTCACTCAATAATAAACAAACGCAGAAGAAGTATACACCACTCGGATGTCTAAACTGCGTTAGTTTCTAGTACCTAAGCCTACGATGGAACTTCAGACCCCTCTTGCTCTGCAATACAAGGACAAATGTCAAACTCACGTAACATCACATCGAGCACAAGAACCTTTAACACACCTCTCGGCGGGCTACATTGCGCTCGTATCGAGTGCCTAAACTTGCAATGGACTTCAGATCCTTCTTGATCTGCTGTAGTCTTTTTTCATAAGCGGTTGTGTCGACATCTGCCGGGACAAAGACACTGGGTTGTGGCTGTGCTTTAGCTTTGGAATCACTCATAGCGCTAGCAAATTAATGGCACACTATATGTCTTTATAAACTCATTCAAGGTCAACTCCTAACGACTTACTATATGACTTTTGAGCATGTCCTAACCACTTACTACAGGTCGTATTATGTTTTATTATGGGTCGACGACTTACGGATTGCCGGGGTGACCCTAAAATAATCGATGTATATAGCACGCCATAAAAAGTCTGATATCGTCATCCCCGTCCTCTTCCGGGCGGCGGGCCACACGGAGCGGGAAATGGCCTTTTACAGTAGCAACCCAATACGTTAAGGTAGTTTAGCATATACGTTATTAGCGTTTTTTAAACGGTATACATACTCGGTGGGGCAGAAAGGGTCTGAGCTCTGACTATATATTATTTAGACCGTATTTACGTATTGTACATAAATCAAACATATAGGACCAGAACAATGTAAACGTTGAACGATTTTTATACGTTCTACCGCAAAGCGTACTGAGGTTAGACAGTGGACAACCCAAGAGAGATAAAACCCAACATTACTCCTTTTGGCTTTTTTTTTTGATATATTCGAGCTATAAAAACTAGTGACAAATATTATTACATAATTACAAATACATCTCCATTTATAAAATTTAGTCGTCGTCACATATCTTGTTGTGTATGACTGTATGCTGGTACTCGATACAAGGAAGACACATAAACACACTTAATAGAGCAAGCAGTGAACACAGCTGAATCGTTGTGAAGTGATATCATCTAACAAAGGGACATATTTGATTCGAAATGCTGGACATACAAGGGCAGAGCGTCTCTGACGTACCATTTCCACGGGCTAATAATATCTGCATCCTGGACAGTTGCTACAGTATTAACCAATGCTTACAGGTACTTGATCGTGACAGAAGAATTTCAAAGGAAGAATATGTGAAAGCTACACACACACACACACACACACACACACACAC